AACGTGGTGAGCATGGAGATTGTTGGGAAGAAGTGAAATACAAATGAAATAGATGCGCACCACGTTTAAGATTATTTTTTGCTTTTTGAAAACGTGGTTTTTCAGATTAATTTTTTAATCTACTATAATTTTATTAATTAATTTTTTATGGGAAAATAAGTGTCCCTATGTCGAATTGTTTCGCTTGTCAAGGTGCCGGCATGTGGGGGTCTCACAGTACAGTATATAAAATACTGAAGGCGCTTTCTTGATTATGACCTCGGTTTACGGGAAAAGGTTATTATTATACCAAAACCCTGACTTGGAAAATACGGTAGGACAAAACGCACCACCAGTAGCCGCAGTAGAGGAAGAAAGGCAGCGCTGTGGCGTACGACAAGAGAACCCAATCGCGGATGAGATACGCCACTCCAGACAACATGAGTAGCCCCAACGTGTAAGCCAAGCAAGTCATCACCGTGACGAACCCTCTGTACTGTGGTCCGACCAGCTCTATGGCTATATATACAGCAGGAAATAAAAAAAACAATGTGAGGGGGGGGGGGGCGTTGGTAACCAGCAAAAAGCGAACCTCGCGAATTTGCATCCGAGGGTTGTCCCGGTTAGACGCGACCTCTGATATTTATGGAGTAGGCGTGATTTGTAAAAAGAAAAAAAGCATGACATGTACGATATACCCATGATATTCTAAGGTTCTGGGATTTTTTTCGGATTTTCAAACTACTTCTTCAATTGCTGCACACATCAGCATGCTGATGATGTGTGACAATTTTTCAGCTACATCAGTCAGGTTATTCTCCACCCATGTCACCAGCAGATGCTAAAGGTATGTCAGATCAGCTAAAGAAAATTAAATGTGTTCTTGTTTTAACCAGTAGCTAAAACTTAAAAGCAATAATATTGTATGAAAAACTAAATTTCAAAAAATAAAAAATATGTTTTTATTGCTTCAACAATCATCTACAATTTAGAAACAATAGAGAGTAAAACAAAACGAAATTGAACGATTAAATTTTTTTTAGCCAGTAGATCTAAAATTTAAAAACGATAATAAATTTAAAAAAATACATTTTTAAGCTGGCCTGACACTATTTCAGCACAGCACTGTACCCAGCACCAGGATAACTCTGGCTGTAACAGGAAAATTTTCACTTTCCATCATGCAGTAAATCGAAAACACGTTTTTAAAAATTCGAAAAAATCCGAGAACCTCAAAACATTATGGGTTATGCCATGGTCTTTTTTTTCAAATTAAACCTACTTTGATAAAATATCCAAGTTCGCGTCCAACTGCTGGGACAACCCTCGTAGCATTCCTGCCAATAACGCGCTTACATATAATGAAGGGGATCTGGTAGATAGCCGGGATCGTGAGTCCGACGATGAATCTCATCAGCATCCAGGTAACGACGTTCGTGGCCCACGCTGTCCCGATCCCGGCCACCAGCTCCGTCCCGAGGCACAAAAAGAACGAGATTCTTCTCCCGAACCTGGTGTGATGGTGATCAATAATGAACTATACTTCAGTATATAGGTGCGAGGAGAAACTATACTGTGCTAATACTTATTATTATAAGAAATGGAAGAAAGGCCAACGTTACCCTTTTTTTTTTACTTTGATATAGCGTTTGAATCTCCTCACGTAAAAGTCAGAGGGACCCGAAAATTCCCATTATTCGTCAGGAGTTTCTATTCGGGAAACAGGCTTTTTTTCTTCCCTGGAGAATGAATCATTAATTTCTGGAGGGGAAATTTGGAGATTTGTGGGAAAGCCTTTGCCATGTTTGTGTGGCAAATGAGATTGGATCTCCTATTGGAATACTTGGTGTCATAATTATTTGCGAGAGAACTACAGCTTAGTCATAAACGTTCACGCTTTTTTCTTCAAAAGGCAATTTGATGTTTATTCATGATAGTTTGGTATAGTGACTCTCAATCTTCTATATGGGGTCTAACAAAAGTTCTCGGAATATAAATTAAAATGGCATATGATTGAGCTGAAAAAAATTATTCTTTAGGATAAAAACATATTCTTTGGCACAAGAAAAAAATCAGCCCTGTTTGACAATTTGTTTTGAATTTTTTGCAAAAGTCACGCTGGCAGAGTTAAATGCCTGTCACAAAGTCTTCTAAATTTCAAGATAAACTTTTTAGTCAGCAAACATTTTTTGAAACTTTGCTGGTCTACAGAAAATATTTTTGGAAATTTGCTAGACTGCAAACACTTTTATTGAAATTTTGCTGGTTTGCAGACCCAAAAATTCTGATGAACACTGCTTTATACCAACCAGATATCTAAATATACTGTACATACAAGGGGTCTAACAAAAGTTCTCAGAAAGGGTTGCCTTCAGGTCTTCCAAGGTTATTCCTTCATTTTCATCAACAGCCGCCTTCACAGCCACTACATTCCCACCCCAATTGGCAGCTGTGAAGGCAGCTGCTGATGAAAATGGCAGAATTACCTTGGAAGACCTGAATGCAACCCTTTCTGAGAATTTTTGTTAGACCCCTTGCATGTACAGTATATATAGATATCTGGTTGGTATAAAGCAGTGTTCATCAGAATTTTTGGGTCTGCAAACCAGCAAAATTTCAATAAAAGTGTTTGCGGACCTGAAAATTTCCCAAAATATTTTCTGTAGACCAGCAAAGTTTCAAAAAAAATTTGCTGGCTCAAAAGTTGTGCTTGAAAGTTAGAAGACTTTGTGACAGGCATTTAAAAAGTCAACTATTTTCCAAAAATTATGAACCAATGAAGAACAGCAATATACTGGAATGTCTTCAAAAAAATTAGAAAGGTTGGCTTGAAAAAAGGTTTTCAGAATAGAAATTTTAAATTATTCATTTCAGCAGGTGAAAACTTGTCTGTTATTAGGAGGAAACGCAACTGTTATTTTTTTCATCAGATAATTTCCACATCCATCATCTATCCTCCATTTCAAAATAAATAACAGACTTCATTGCTACTTTTGATAATACATTATGCAGCAGAAAATTTCCAGCAGAGAAAAATGTCTGTAGACCAGTGCCAGTCTGTGGACCACTGGTTGGGGAACACTGGTATAAAGCACGCTACTGCCATAAAATTTCATAAGAAGTCATATAATGCAGGTGAACCTCAATAACTCAAACCTCCCTAAGTCAAATACCCCCCTAAATTGAATTTTCTTCAGATCCCCTTAGAAACAATACATAAAAAACCTCCCTAAGTCAAAGGCTTTTCCTCTCAAACCTCTGTGAGTTGAATTTTCTGTGACCTGTTGGCTATGATTTTTTTGACACAAGAAGTAAAAAAAAAGCAATACAATTAAAAATTGATATGGCTGAAAAGTATGTGAAAGACTTAATTTGGCAAATGAATCCCTGCCTATGCAAGTTCAGCATCCTTTCAAATCATTCAAGGAGCAATTTAAGCCCCAGAATACCACCATTTACAATTTTGGGCTATTTTTCTATGTTTCCCAGAACAAAAGAGCTATGTGTTGTAGCTCAAACCTTTATAATCCCAAACCTCCCAAAGTCAAGTTTTTTTGCTGGTCCCTTGAAATTTGACTTGGAGAGGTTCAACTGTAGTTAATTTAATTGACGAATTTCATGGTTCTCTGCAGAATCAGAAGAGACATACATTACGTGTTAAGTTTGATCATAATTACCTGTCACTAATCACTCCGAACAAATAAACGCCGATGATTCCACCTATATTGAGAACACAGAGTCCAACCGTTGGCAGCATAGCTTTGTCACAAACCAGATCGAACTGCAACGAAAACACGCACCAAAAATAAATTGAGTCACATTTTTGCACACTCGATCGCAAATCCCTCGTCCTTTCAAGACGACACTGACATCAATGACGATGGAAGAAAATATCTCCGACTTGTCGTAAATCCAGCCGTGTGAACACTCGATCGTCGGCCACGAAGCATCGGGCAAGGCGGTGAGGTTGTTGAAATCGACGTGGCGGAGTAGTTTGTTGTAATCAATATCGTACATGCGACACCGGCTGTAGGTCCCATCATTGGGGTCGTCGTCCTGCGTCCAGAGATCGGAAACGAGGTCACCTGAAGCTTCTTTTCTCTTTAGAAAATAAAAGAGATTTTTTTTTCGCTCTCTTTCCGATGGTCGCCAGCAGCAGCAGAGGGATGAACGATTATGTTGGTTTTACGTGATTTGAGTTTCATGGTATGGTTTGGTAGGATGCAGTGAATCGGGAAACACACAGGCGCAAATGGTGTTTTCAGCTATCGGCGTCGTCTTTTCAAGCATCGTTTACAACGCTACGAAACCCCATCAGATATTGAGGCTCGCAGGTTCTTCATGGGGACAGACGAGGAAAATTCCCCAACTCAAAAATCTAAATACAGTCTAACCCCGATAAGACGCCACCATATGTCCAGAGCAATTTTGGCGGTTTAAAGGTGTTGGCAGTTTATGGAATATTTCATTTTAAATTATTTGATTGAAAATAATCAATTTTCCTCCATCAGTCAGAGAGATACAGGTTTTCTAGAAACTTCAGTAATTTTCAAGGAGTATTGCTGTGATCAATGGACTATTCTTCGAAAAAATTAATTTTGCCTATTAATTTATTCAAATTTCGAGTTTAGGTCAAATTATTGTTCAAATTCAAAAAAAAAAATTATCATCATAATTTTTTTTATTCTCACAAATACAAGATCCTTTTTGGCAGAAATTATAATTCTACCCCAATGTTGGCGTTGTATTGAAGACAAAACTAATAGGAAAAATCACTTTTGTGTCATCACTAATGCTGGAGGATGGGGGTTGGCGTTTTATCCAGGTTTTCTATAGAATTTAACATGGAGGAGATTTATTTCATTCAAAATTTTGGCAGGTGCCAAGGGTGGCACTTTATTGGGGGGGGGGGGGCGTGTTAATGGGGTTGGACTGTATATCATTGCATTGCAAACGGTTCTTGAGGTTTCCAATTAACCACGGCTGCAGCAAATAAGAACTGCTGTTTCTTTCCATTGCTCAGAGAAATTATGGAATATGATTCAAACCAGAAATTATAAATGTTTTTCAAACTAAATTAGTGATAAAGGAATACAAGTTTCATAAAGTGGACTCGTTTTTTCATGAGGCAATTCTTCAGGTAGTCTTTATCAAAGCAATAATCTCGAGACAAAGATTTTATAAAATACTCAGGTGAGGATCAGTTAGAATAAGACCATCCTCATTTTTCTTCATATACAGTACATGATGGAGAAGGATAACATGAAGACGCATGATACATAGGCCCTTTCGCCTGCTTAAACCGGTGACATATCTGAATAAAATGAAAATGTAGGTGAGGAATTATGCGTGATTTTTTTCAATTTGCCCCCTTGAAAAGCCCATTCATCTCTAACCAGGCTATGTTGCTATGGATGACACATGCTCTTTTCGGGATGACACAACGCCAGTACGAGTACTGTATATATCTCTCAACCTCCAGCATGTAGCTTCGGGGATTCCATTGCATAGATTTTACTTCTGAAAACGAGCTTCACATGCAGTACTCATCAAATGTCTTGGCAATTATTTATTCTCCCAACAAAAATTGAATATTATTTTCTTTTTAGATGTTACCTCTGGGTACGTGCATATTAGATATACAAATTCCGCCCGTATGCTCTGCGCAGATCCCACTTATAATTAGAATACTGTACAGTATTAAATTCCATTCAGCTTTTTTCCTTCTTTTTTTTTCTTAGGAGGCTATTGGATGCTGTGCATGCTTGGGAGCCTTTTTGCTGGTACAGTTGAACCTTGCTAAGTCAAACCAACTCAAGTGTATACATAAGTGAAATACCTCCCTATATACCGTATTTACTTGAGTACCACGCGCACCTTTTTTCTCAAATTTCAGAAGAAAAAATGGGTGCGCGTCAAAAGCAGGTACAAAATTTTCAAGAAGTTTTAGGAAGTTGTATGTTAATTATACTTGATTATAATTGAGAAATTTGTGACAAATTTACCAAGAAAACTTTTTTTTTTACTGAAAAATTTGAAAATTGATCAGATTCATGTTCAATTCACTTCTAAAGTCAAATTTTTTGTTTTTATTTTTTGAAATTTTGTGGTTTTAGAGTCACTAAAAATGGGGTGCATGTCTTACTCAGGGATACAATTTTAGCCAAATTTTGAACTGAAAAACCCCTGTGCGCACCCCTTACTTGAGGGTACTCAAGTAAATATGGTAAGTTGAATTTTTTCAAGTCCCCATCTGAATTCCCCTAGAAACTATGCATTAAAAATCTGCCTAACTCAAAGGCTTTTCCTCTGAAACCTCTGTAAGTCGAAATTGTTTAAGCCTTTTGGCTATTATTTTATTTAAACAGGATAGAAAAAACAATAAAAATGGAATTTGATTGGTTTTGAAAAGATGTGACAGACTAAATTGGGGAAATAATGTGAACCCTTTTCTCCAAGTTCAGTGCCCTGTCAACTCATTTTAGAAGCAATTTAAGGCCCGGACAAATATCACCAGCATGTACAATTTAGTGCAATTCTTCATTGTTTCCCACAATAAAAATACTTGATTCCATTAGTCAAACATCTACATATAACTCAAAACCTCCCCAAGTCAAAGCTTCCATAAATCAATTTTTGTTGTTGCTGGTCACTTGAAATTTGCCTTGGAGAGGTTCACCTGTATACTGTATATACAGTATAGAGCCTGAACATCCCACTCTGCTGATGACGCGTCGAAAATTCAGAAAACTTCACCAGCTGATGCTGTCAGAGTCAGAGTCTGTCTTTGTATATACAGTATGATGTTGTTTGAATTCACGGAGAAAAAATATGTGAGAGATGAGGTCGAACCTCGATCGGGATGCTGAGCTTTTTCCGAACGGCATCGGTGAGCCCGGAGCGACTGACTTCGAGTTCCGGCACTCTGCACCAGTGGTCCGGCACATCGGCCATGAAAAGCTGGTTGAAGGCGTGAAAGCCGCACGGAATGCACGCCGGAAGGCACACGAGCCAAATCAGGAGTTTCTGATACCGGCCGAAGTCCCCAACGTGGGGAAGGAGTTCGTCGAACGCCGCAAAGGACTGACCGGGTTTGGCATCACTGGTGGCCACTGAGCGCTGTGGAAACATGATGGAAATATGAGTACTGTACAGTGAGACCCCCAGATGCGGACATGATTGGTGCATCAAGAGTGTCCCTAAGTTGAGTCTTGCTGTTTTCCCATAGACTTACATTTAATAATTTTAATTAGGGTTTCATGGAAGAAATATTATTCAGAATTACATGAAAAAAATGTATTTGCCAGTTGCATTTGATTCAGTGAAACATCTTTTCAAATCAGTAAGAACATTTGGAGCATTGAATAGTGTACCTCTGTACAGTACATTGAAATGTTGGCATCTGCAAAAATACCATTCAAGTGAAAAAGAGAGAAGGAATGTCCCTCTGTGCTATAGGTAATTTTTTTAATTAGCTGAATGGATGGGAAAGTGATGGAAAATGTACAAAAGAATTTGTCTTGCATAGATCTTATAGGGTTGGAAACATATGTTTCTTGCAATTAAGCTTAAGAAAAGTCAATTTTCCTCAAATTTATTGGCAACTTTATCGTTCAATATCCTCATGTTGAGTCAGTGTCCATATTTCAGGCCTTTTTCATGGTTTTTTATTGAAAAATAAATGTCCATATGTCAAATTGTCCTCATGTTGAGGTGTCCGCATGTGGGGGTCTCACTGCATGTAGTGTATCTATAGTGGGACTCCTTGATCAACGTACTGTATATACACAAACAATTCAACTTATATATATACTTGGAACCGGAAGAATCTTCCCCTCAACATCTAGACAGCTGTGACTCAAGATACAGACACTTTTGACATTTCTGCATGGGGAAATTAAACATTTTTATTTTGCTGAATTTTTGGATTTATTGCGAGGAAGTTGATCATTTCACAAATGCTGAAAATAAATTTCATGATGAAATTACCCCAGCAATTCATAATTTGAAAAATCGGCTAATTTTGTGCCTCATGTTTAAAGTTTTTTTTTCCAGCATATATACAAGGGTTGGTTTGTAAAAGATGATAATAAACTGCCAATTGCAGTCATTGGAGGTGGATGCAATTTTTTCTTTTGCTCTTCAATCCTTCATTGGTGTCTGATACATTTTTCATCAATTACTCAGCTATACAGAAGGAAACAAGAAAAAGACCTGGATGCTGGATCACAATAAATCCCCTCTACTCAAGTGCACTGAAGTGAAGATTAATTGATGAAGAGCAGCTGAATGCGCACTTGCATGCTCTCTAGTATGACTTTGACAGGGGTTATGTGGTAAACTTCACTTCAGTGCACTTGAGTGGAGGTGATTTACTGTGATCCAGGTTTTTTTCTTGCTTCCTTCTGTAGCAGAATAGTGGATGAAAAATGTATTAGTCACCAATGAAGAATTGTAAAATAAAAAATTGCATCTGCCTCCTAATATATATGACAGCAAATGGCCATTTATTATCTTTTACAAACCAACCCTTGTATATGTGTGCTCAGGATATGAAGACTTGTTCTTGTTCTTTCCTTCTTGAGCTCTTATTTCTGATGCCAAAAGATCAACTTTTGTGTGGTTTTCATCTGTATATTCATTTTCTGTACTTTGAAGTTGAGAAAAATTATTTTATTAAATTTTGGGGGGCAATTTTTCTCCATTACTCATCTTCAGGAGTACCAATTAAAAATATTAATATACCAGCATTGAAATCCATGGGAAAACAAGGTCCAATAACATGCAGACATATTCCAGGGTAGGAACAAGTTCCAAGCACCAAATACCGCATCTTGGCTGGGTCCCACTGTTACTCGTTTTTCCCCATCAGTATAAATAATATATGAGTGGCATTGTTTGTCAAACCCCAATTAGGCGTCCCAGATGAAGCGCCACCCTATCTGGGCAACTGACAAAATTTTGTTCCGTTCTCTAAACAAATCTCCTCAGTGTTAAATAATACTTTATACACAAAATCTGGATAAGACACCAATATACTGCCATCCACAGCGAACCCTTTTGAGAATTAAAATAAAAGGCCTCTGTGGCAATTATTGTTTCTTTGCAGGGCCAACATTGCTGGGGTATATATAAAAGTATGTTTTCTGCATGCATTATATATGATCCTGATTTGTTTTGCAGAAAAAAGCTGAAAAGATGTACTCAATACTGTAGATGAGACTAACTTGCATTTTAAAATAAGTTTGCTAAAATACAATTCCTTTACAAAATAAGAGGAATTCATGATGACGAAATCTTGGAGAATTTATAATTTTCTAAAAAAAAACATGTATTTCTGCCTTTTCTTGAAGGAAATTATTAAAATTGCATATTAATAGAAATTCATATGAATAGTATTCTTAACTTTAATTCAATATACAGTGAGACCCCCACATGCAGACGCCTTGACCTGCTGACAATTTGACCTAGGGACACTTATTTTTACATAAAAATATCACAAAAAAGTCCCGACATGAGAACATTGACTCAACACAGGGACATTTTGCAATTAAATTGCAAATAAATTTCAGGCAAATTTACAAGAAACAGATGTTTCCAACCCTAAAATTGACGTAAGAAAAGTTCTTGGGCATTTCTCTCCCCAATTTACCATCTATTTAGCTAATTTAAAATAATTACCTCTAGCTTAGAGAGACTTCCTTCTCTCTTTTTCACTTGAATTTTATTTTTTACAGAAGATGCAAACACATCTATGTACTGTACAGATGAGGTATCAGTATTCAATTCCCCAAATGTTCATAGTGCGTTGAAATTTTCTTTTTAAAGTTAACTTTACCAGAGCAGTCAAACCTTTCAGTTGGCTGAAAGCAGTTCTATCCTGCTGGAGAGACTAAATTTTTTTCTCCTCTGTATATTAGCTGAAAATCTGTACTTGATGGGGACATTTTGACTTAGGGACACTCTTGATGATGCACCAATTACATCGGCATCTTGGGGTCTCACTTTAATTTGAAAGAAACAAATATTTTCCAATAGTATATTAAATACTGTAAAAAAAAGGTCTCTCGGGCTTCTTGTATGTTTACCTCATCAGCTTTATCGCTTTCGGTCAAGGCTGTGGTGTGCATGCTGCATGAAGAGTAGTTCCGGACAACTGCATTCTTCTCGAAAGGGACGCTGGCATTGGACTCAACGTCCCTGTCGTCTACTTTCGTCGAACTCATGATTCTCTCGTCCTCCAAAGACCAATATAAGCGCGAATAAGACCGACGCGACGAAACACAGCAGGCAAGATTTGTTCACTAATACTACTGATGATCAACCACGAGCCAATTCTCGAGATCCACGCCGCCAAGTTCCGCCGCTGATTGGAGTACCGAAATGCTGCTGGCAAATTTTATCATATCTTTCGAACGTGTCGCAGTTGATGCCAGGGTTTCGCGGTCTTTCTGTATATAAGCAGCAGCACGCAAGCGGGCGCGGTTGCAGCAGCAGCGGGCCAACAAGAAAGTGCTGACGTGCACACCCGAGCTTCCTTTCCGATGTGACGAGCTTTGAAAGGCTTCATTGCCTCGACGGGTTCAAATCCAACGCCTGCTGCTGTACCTTTGTTATTGTGCATGCAGCAGAGACGAATATACGGGTAGCAGGCATTTCCCAGTATAGGGAGCCATCAGAAATATCGAGGAAAGTACTGTACTCCAATGCCAGGTTTCACTCATGGTTTCTGAGCAAACCGCAAAAAGCCCATTATACAATATATACAGCCCATTCGATTCGCTTTGAAACTCATTCAAAAACCAAGTACCACAGATGTTCTATATACAGCGTCGGCGTCAGTATATAGGACACCGCATATATATATTCATGCGAGGAAAAAATAAGAAAGAATATGCTACATAAAGACAGAGAGCACCGCAGTAATAGAGGAACAGCATGTTCAACACGTTCTTGTAAGGCTTCTCCCTGCTGGAGATCTCCTTCGAAATGCATAAATCCCAGAAGAAAAACAAACTAAGCGTTTTCCACGTTTGTGTATTTTCCCCTGCAAACGACTGTATGTATGCTGGGGCTTTCCAAGACCATAATATTGAGATTTCTTGAGTCAAATAAGCAACATGATTGAGGAAAATGTACCGTATATTTTAATCAGTTTTGTCTGAAAGAAGTAGCAGAATATGATGATGGACAATTAATCAGTATAGGATTAGATGACCCATTTGGCATCCCCAGTAGTTCAACAGAGGTTCTATAAGAGGAAAAACTGAATGTCGAACAGCTGGCTGATGTATTTTCCAAAGCCACTAATATTTTAATAACTTCAGAACTTTGATACTGATCATGATGCAAAAGACAAAAAATGCGATTTTTCAGAAGTTTGATAGGTGGTTATCATTTGTGGCTTTTATTACTGATGATGATCGTGTGAGCCATGCGTCCATCAGTATGTAATGCAGCGCTGTATATAGTAATAATCTTGCATGCGGTTATTGAGCAACTGACAGGCACATAATGAAGCTTTTCAATCAATAATTTTACTGAACAAAGTTCCCAATCAATATATGGAACTTTATGTTCAAGAAAAATCTAAAATTTTCAAAATAACTATGAAGATTTACATGCTTTGGAAAGAATGCTGGAATCAAGTTATCCTTTGCAGCGCAGCTATATATCTTATATTGCATGCTGCAGCTATCCCATATGGGCCATATAGGCCCTAGTATAGAAAATTACTCAATACTCATGATAATATACGCTATGATTATCTGAATGATCTTGCATGTTGATCTTATTTTAAATTTCGAAAAGTCACAAAAATGGTACTTTGTATTCATCTGCTCGATCAACTATTTACAATCAAATAATGGGATGCATTGGAGAAAAAAGCTGATAAGTAGATATTATTGTACAGCTACCAGAGCCAGCAGCAGATTCAATGCCAAAAATTGAAGCTTTTTTTACATGAGACTTAGTAGAAAACTCTCAAAAGCCAGCTCAAATGTTTGCTCATTGAATTTATTTTCTTTTTAAAGTTAACTTTACCAGAGCAGTCAAACCTTTCAGTTGGCTGAAAGCAGTTCTATCCTGCTGGAGAGACTAAATTTTTTTCTCCTCTGTATATTAGCTGAAAATCTGTACTTGATGCATTTTTTGAGCTTGAAGGAAATCAATTTTCACCACACTAGAAAGTGGATTTTATAATTCAATGTTTTGTATGAATTAAGCAAGGAATCACATGCTTGAGTTTTTTGCTTTCATATAATTTCTGACATTGAGAGTAGAAAAAGCATTTTCTAGCATGCTTCATTCAGTGTTTTTCAACTGGTTTGAAAAACAGTGAAATATCTTATCACACCAACACATAAAAATCTACACATTTAACTACATGTATGTTGGGAAAGGAAATGAATCCAACTTAACTCTGACCTTTTCAGGTCATTGTAGGTCACATTGTGAAAAATTCAGAAGACTTTCTCAGAATGTTGACAGTACAGTAATATTGAATAGCTACAAATTATCTTCAAGTTCTGCCTTTTTCAAATTCTGGAGACAGATAATTGTTGCTATAGGATACCTCCCAGCAAGATCCTAGCTATGCATCTCCAAATCACTTCTGGATGACTATGGAGCTAACGCCTCCAGAAATCTCAGTTGGCTAAGAATAACCATGCAGTGAGGAAGGGATGGTTTAGGTACTTGGGGGATCATTGAACTATGGTTATGAAGAACTGAAGTCTACCTTTCTTTCATGTTTAGCCTCAAATAAGACGTTGTCTTTGTACTCCACTGCAAATCAGAGTGCTTGCTGCGCGTTCCTATCAGTTCCCAAGCAGATATGGCAACATCTTAAAGAACGTATAGGTCAAGAAATGGAAGAAAACTAGCGCGCTTCTTATAATTTGATATATTATTCACAATCCATTCTTCATACAGATCTCCATCTGCAGAACATGTGTGTTGCAAACGCCGGCAACAAAGTCACTCAGAACATCTCTTCGAACAACATAACATGGTCATCTTCCGTCAAGGTTATGGAGAAAAAAAAAAGCCGAGAGGTGAAGAAAATCGAGTTGCCTGAGTGATATGACGGTGATCACAACGCAATCTTCACAGGGAAGAAAAAAAAAAAACATCCTTCTACGGGCATCTTGCATTCATCTAGAAAAAAATTCCTTCTGATGTAGAAATCCACTCTCAACCCCACAATTACTTCCGTGCTTTCCACGACTTGAACATTTGCTGACACCCACACATGTACTTACACCTTATTCCAATTGACGCAAATTTGTTCCATTAAAAATAGGTCCAAGTATAGGGAGCTGATCCTCAATCTACCTCTCTCTCTTTCCTATCATCCATCCATTCCTGCCCTTTTGATTTGTGGAGAAATCCTCACTGTTGCCTTGCCAACCAACAGACATTCAGAACCCGGGTTCCAGAGTCAATCCCGCCGCAGAACAACCACATCATGAAATGAGAGAAACCCGCCTTCATAGTTTCATAGCGTGGCTCTCCTCCCCAAATCCTTCGCCTCATACTGGAAATGGTTTCACATCTGAACGCTGACGATTGAAACTTTTTAATGAATCCAAGAACGCAAATGCTAGCTGATGTTCTCGAGATCAATCATATTTTTTTGGAGAGAACAGAGGAAACGCAAGAGCCGGGATTAACCAATATCTCATGCTCACATGCCTATTGTACTTCCAAGCTTGCAGTGCAACCAACATCTAACATCAATATAATGTCATCCACGGTAATATCATTACATAATGTTACGTGAAGTCCGCTTGATAATTCTGGGCTCACGCATTTCTGGCCGACTCTTGCAAGATATCCTCACTGTGATTTTTGGCATTCGTCAAAAAATTAAAACAGAGAACCAATAGGGATGTTTGAATAATTCTGAAGATAATTTAGTCATTAATGGCCTCCCATGCTCCATGCGAAGATAAAGTTACCCATTAACACGGACTTTACAACTTTTGAATCTCTGTGGTCAACAGTTCGGCAAATCTGCTACGAGCACAATTTTAATTGTTACAAGCACAATGCTATATGACACATTTTTGTACAGCCTTGGACAAACAACGCGAGAGCATGAGTCAGCCAAAAAAAAATGTTAAGTTTTTTTATGGAAACATACGACACGGCTACAGAACAATACTTGATCATCCACTCAAGTATGAACTTGAAAAATTCTACGCAAAATCATGGGTCAAGTGCCTCACCAAGTCACCCGAAATATGTGAAAAACTATATAATAGGGAAGTCGTTTTTCCAATTATCGACAGAGCATCATCTCTTCCCACAGCATCCGTGATCACAACGTGATGCACTTTCCGCTTACCTCCGCTCTTCATGAGTGAGCCAAGAATCCATAGAGTTAGAAATTAGCCCAATAAGTTATCCGTCCTTTGAAGAAGTAAGGATCTCAAAAGTGAAACTTTGACAGATTCGTCTTCAAGCTACCAATGAACTGGACAGAGCCCCGATAAGGATGTAAGGAAGAAGAGGTAGGGCCTGTATCCAGTCAAAGCGGAATGTATCATTTGACAACACTTGCCATATCAACCGTGAAATAAGAGATTATTCAGAGCCTCAATTGTAAGGCACACCAACAGGTACGATAAAGGTACAGTACTTGAAATGCGGGAAAATGCCCTCGAAACTAACCTTTTTCGTTCAACGAAGAGCAGAGACAAAAAGATTGCTAGAAATACAAACCGGCCAAAGTCACCAGCGGATACAAAAAAAAATTAAAATCAATGCTTGCAATTCAACAAACAAAAGAAAGCATAAGCAAAGCAATTTGTACTGGTTGTTAGCTCAGCACAGGGTTGTTGGCAGGTATGTGGATGGGCAGCAAATAAACTGTAACTCGTCCCAGTTATTCAAAGTTTGTGTTGAACATGTTGAGCTCTTCAAATGGAGTTGCACTGCTGTGGTCCAGCAGCTGCATCATGTCAGATAGTTCGTGATTGCTGGAGGGTGGATGCGAGTGGCCCGCATGGGCATGTGGTGGTGGACCCGTCACAGCTCCACTCAATGCGGCACCACTGCCACCTGCATTACCTCCTCCTGGACCACCGGAAACGGCACTTACACCACCTGCTGGTGAACCTTCTCCCTGAGTGGCGCCGCCCTGCCACGACCACATGCCTGCAAATATTAATAACCAATACAGCTTTCGTTCCAAAAGAAAAACGAATGAGAAAATAAAATTTTCGCACACCCCGCGGGAGTAAGGGGAATCAACTAGCACAAAAAAAAGAGGCTAGCATAAAGCTTCAACACAGCCCAACACACCTGAGGAGGCTGAAGCAGAGGCAAGGTAGGAGCCCCGACTGGACCCAACAGACGGGGACCCAGCAGCTGATGACGGATTACTGAGCTGGGTGTATGTGGGACCTGCTGCTGTGGTGGCTGCAGCAGCTGATGGCGACCGGGATGGGGAAATCCCACTATAGCCTGGATAGCCACCACCGCCATTTGGCCTCATCTGGACCTGTGACCATGAGCCCTGGGGCTGCGTTGGTGTTGGTGGCGTCCCTGGCTTTGTTAGCCGCGATGGACCACCGCTTGGAGAGGAGAACCCTGCTCACACGAAAAATCCACAAGAAAACCGCGATTACCAACATGGGATTCAACTGGTGCACTGCATTTCAACAGACCTAAAGGAGATTGTGAAGACGTGGTGGCGGCAGCAGCGGCAGCCACAGATGCTGCGTCATAACCCCTGTAGCTTGGCTGCTGCTGGCCAGCACTTGGAGGTTGCACCTGTCCATGCCCATGGCCACCCAGCATGTATTGCGGCTGGGTCATCCGGTGCAAGCTGTAGTCCAGTCCCGGCTGCCCATACTGACTTGTACTCATGTCTGTCTGTGGCCCTTGGTCCACCCCGGTCCCATCACCTCCTGGGTGCAAGCTTCTGGCAAGAAATCCAAGCACCCATGAAAACTACATCTCCAACACCAATCCAAATCAACAGGGCAAAGCAGCTATCCTTGCGTAACAATGACCATGAAACGCGAAGTTTGAACAAATAAAACGGCGCAAATGTGTAGTACACCAGCAGATTTGTTCAGTAACCGAAGGGACGATATGTATGGTAACAAGATGTGTACTGACTTGGCAGTGCTATTGGTGCACACGATGTACTCTGTGTCATCCGTGTATGGATTGAGGAATGCAAAAGCCGAAGTACGCAACCAGACCCAGTCGCGGTTCTTGGCACGAAACCGGTACATTAGAGACATGACCTGGCCCTTCAGCTTCACCACTGCAAACCACCAACACGCAAAAACCGAATGAAACAGATTCAAAGCTCCTCCACAGCCCCTCTCCGCTAAACGTGCCCCAATGCAAACCATCCGTTTGATTTTCATGTGCAAATTATTAGGAAAGAGAATAATGTCCAATAAAAGCTAGATGACATACCTTGTTCGAAAGAATCCTTGATGTGAGACTGCTCCTCCGGGTGCACCAACTCAAATAACAACTTGCCCAGCAACTCCGGTGGCGAATAACCGAGCAAGCCCACGACACGCTGGTCCGTGAAACTGAACTTTCCATCAACACCGTGTCGACTGATAAACTCTACAACACAAATGACATGGGTGGAACAATAAAACACACATCATCATTCCGTCTGACAGTCTTGCTAAAATGTATAGCTATCAAAATTACCCATTTGAAATTTGAAAGTCATTCGCAAAAGTTACGCCCGGAATTAAAAAAAAAACAAGCACAATGAGAGAAGTGCTCAACTTCTTTTATCCATTAAAAACTTCGGTACTTCTGCTTCGTTACTTTTTTTAAGGTACCCAACACCCCTGAATAACTCAGCAACTCAAAGAATCAACACTTGCTTTTACTTGCTTGCTGCTCGACTAAAACAAGTTCCATTGTTATCTACCAAAAGCGCTGCTGAAGTCGGAAACTCACCATTTGCAGCAGCTGATCCAACCAAGTCGTTCGTATTGGGCGTGGATGTGACCTGGAGTCGGCCAATGGCAACTAAACAGCAATGGGAGTTGCTCGGGTCCTCTTCACCCGGACCTCTGTCACCTGCAACTTGTACCATTTCCAAATGTTCCATTCATTCAACCAAAGCAAATAAGCGACAACAACGAAAATAAAAAACACGAAAACCAAAAATTCCCACTTGTTGGTGGCCAGTTCTTGACGTAGCCAGTAGAGTGGACAACAGCATAACTGTTCCCATCCATGGACGGCCCCAGGGCATTTCGCTGCCGGATGCGCTGGAGATGTGTGCTGGAACCCAGGGCATCAGGCTGCGCATTGCCCAGTCGCATTCGACAGATGAAACTCCGCCTTGGGCCCATGCACAGTCGCATCGATGCTGTGGGCAAACAAAACATTGAAATAAGAAAAAACCATAAAATAGAAATTAAATGCGGACTCATTCTGTATCTTATCGGGGGTCGCAGGGAATAAGCCAATTCTGCTACGTGACGAAAATCACGTCATTGCTATTACACGGTTAGTCGAATTTCACATCACATTCATTCGTTCCCCTTGCTCAATCTACAGTCAAACCCTAATTTAGTGCCACTGTCTGACCCGAAGAATTTTGAGGCACTAAGCAAGGGTGGCACTAAATCAAGGAATGCTTAAAAATTTTAATGATTGCACATTTACTAAATGTAATATTGAATATGTAAATCTGTATGCCATCACATTGTAGTATAGGTCTATTCTGTCCAATTTGTGCTTCAAACCTATCTTAATTGATTGTAATTAAGTGGGGGGGGGGGGGGGAAATAAGAAATATATTTTTTATTTAAACCACTGTTTTGACATCGCGGCATCAATGAATTATGGGTATATTATGGAAGCTTTTGGGTAAAAATGACGCATTTAAAATAAATCATTCATTGCAGATATGCAACACAAATCAGAATTCCTTCAAAAAACTCATACTCAGTTATTCAAGGGTTAGCAAGTCATCTTCCTTGCATGCTTAGAACTTATTTTATTCTTCCTTGAAGTAGAAACCTCTATGGAGAAACCATTGTTCTTGCATTAAAAAATGAAGAGGAAATGCATGGCACCAAGTTTCATTTTCCATGAGAAATAATGGTCAAAGAAATGACCATTTCAGTTATTGGGAATCCAGTGGAAGGATAAATAAAAGGAAAAATATTCATCTAATTGAGGAAGTCATGAAAATGTGAGCACTGTTTAACTGTTAATGTAGACATTAAAACAGGAAAGACACACAATAAATGCGGAAGAAAATATAGACCTGTCCAAAAGCCTTTAGATTCACTTCTTTTTCTCGAAAAAAAAAAATCTTGTTTGCGGTCATACACAGAAATAATTTCTTGATCAATTTTATAAAAAAAAAAACTGGGTTGCGAGCCTTACTCAACGGCGCATGGTACTTGAGTAAATATGGTATGTGGCACTAAATCGGGGTTTGACTTTTATATGAATATTTTACGCAAAAGCAATATGCATGATGGTGTAAATGAGAATCAAACAAATGAAGAGGGGCAGTGCAGAAAATGGAAAGACTGAAAAATAAAGCACATACACTGTTGGCCTTCCTTCTTGACAGTGCCGGTCTTGAGGTCGAGGACACGGCCGGGAGTCCCCGACTCCTGCGTAGATAGCTGCTCTCGCACCTTATCCACATCCTCTGGGTGCAGGTAATCAAACAAGCAAGACCCAAACATTTCGCCCTGCAAAATGGGGATCCAGTAATTTACACACAACACCACCGAATGCGAGAAGGAATCAATCAAAACAAATTAACCCCGTACCTGGGTGTAATGGAGCACAGGGGTGACCGAGTCCGACACGTAGATTAGGCGCCCATTCTCGCAGCCTACGACGAACAAAAACCCGTCGGCCGCTTCCAAAATCAAATGCTTCAGTTCCTGGTCAGTTAGGAAGGATGGCTTGAAAGATCCATCTGGGCCCGAGTTCCCAGTGCCTAAAAAAAATCAAATGTTATGGTTTAAATACTGTACAACACAGCACTATCCATAGAACTGAATTAAAGATGGACAGAAGGACAAAACGATTGACGGAATCATTTCCAGTGGCGTTGTCCAGACCAAGAGGATGAAAAAGACACAGAAGAGGGTTCACAAAAATCCCTGGACAAAAAAGGCTTTGATTCCTCTGCCACGGTGCTCATGAATACAGGGCGGCGCATTCGCTTTCAGAACTTGATGCCCAGCTTAAATTACTATAAATGTCAATTGAAGCAGGAATGTTTGGCATTATGTACAGTATATGGAAAAGCCACTTCAATCATCTAATGCTAAGCAAGCGTGCAATGAAAATTTCCTGCAGGTGTCATTCTGCAATCTAAATTTGCATGTAACTAGAATATTGTACTCACTTAATTTTTGAAAACATCATTTTTGCATACTTGAACCATTATCCCTTTTGGAGATTAGAGCCCGCTCTTTATTAGTCCTCTGGGCAATGAGTAGTTTAATTTTTGGCAGAAATTCATTTTCAGCTTTGGATGCATGGCAAGTACAATAAATTGCAATTTATACGTCACAGATGATGGAGGAAGAAGCATTATGATTCCACTATACCTTCCATGTCATTTTTTTCAAGTCCCTGTCTGAATCCCATTTGAGAAGATATTTTCAAAAACTGACATGATCAAAGGCTTTCCTCCTCATCTCTCCTTAACCTGAATTTTCTGGACGCCTTCCTTGCATGGTCGATTGAATTTGTTTGTACGGTCGACACACGTGAACTTATCTTTTATTGAGGAAATGAATACTGGATTTTCTTGAAGACCAGTTTGCATCAGTTCTTGTTCGGTTCTGGGTAAGGACACTTTTTTTTTGTTGGCAAATAAAATTCACATCTCTTTAAGGAGTATGAGTCTGTGAAAGGGAGCTAAAAAAAAACCCTGAACTGTTCCAGCCCATGAAATAGAATCTGCAGCGCTGTAACTTTGGCCTTTGATTGAAAGGCCCTTTTTAGTCAGCATGGTCAAACAGGGAATGGCACCGATCAGGACCGGAAACTTGCGTTTACCCCCTGCAGTACAAAGGGATGCGCCCAACCAACAGGATGTCCAGTTGGGTCAGGCATGTCTCCAGGTACATGCACTACCCTCAACATTTTACAGCCACAAATTCAGGTCATTTCTTTCCCACTGAAGATAAGCAGAGCGGGAATAGACCAGGCGAGGAAACTTGAGATTTAAAAACATTCACAGCACTGACCTCTCAAGGCCTTCATGTGAGCAACAGCCATCCGGAGTATTGTGAGTTTGTCTGGCTTCCTGGCAAGTGCTGAGCATGTGGGGACCATGTCGGATAGTTCCGTGATGTACGCGGTCATCTTGTTCCGCCGTCGTCGTTCGATCTCGCAGTGGTTCTCTCTGAAAAAATGCCACAACGAACTCCACATCAGACAAACAAATCAACAGCTAGGCGCACAATGAAAAACGCCGTTCTTAAACCTAGATGCACCCACATTTGTTTCCGGGAACATAACCGATTTAATTTCCCACTCTTTTTTATTGAAAATTTAGGCACATGCTTCCGGAAACAAACAAGCTGCACAAAGACCCCAATACAGAATTCAACCCAAGTAAAAAAAAAAATCGCCTCGGTGAATGTGGATTCCCCTACGTGCCACGCTAACAAGATGAATCAAATAGTAAGCCAATCACAGCAAGCAAGCTGAAACAATGACACAAAAAAAGCCAAGTCATGCAAATCATGCCCACAAAGATCTCAATTTGCAGCAGAGCATGGAACAACAAGGGCTGAGGAAGGCCGAATGGAGGGCTGTACTGACTGTACAAGAAAATTGACCTCACACAAAGAATGAACACGGAAACCAGACACGATTGCCACTCGTAACGATATTATACGGAGTCAGTGAAGTCACAAAAAGATGTGCTCCATTCACAGCTATTCTGCAATTACTGCATCAGAAGAGAGTGAGGTTTGTTCGTTGTCGACACCCGAACAGTTGAAAACCACTGACTACAGCGGTACAGTAGAAGTCAATACTCCATCGTCACTCACAGCAATTGCATCAACAAGGACAGCACGGCAGAGAAGGTGATAGGGAGAAAAAAAAAGAAAAGAAATGAGGAACAGTGTGTTGGTGTATGTGTGTGTGTGTGTTGTGTTTTTCATAATAATAATAAAAAAATAAAAGGATGGAAGGGATTGCAGCATTGAGCAGTGCAAAGATCAAGTAAACGCGTCAGCCAGTCAGTCGGTCGACCAAAGCAAATCAACAAGTCACAAAAGCCAGCCAGCCTTTCGTGACTTGTGTGTGGACCTGACCTGACTGTCTGTTTGCCTGAATGTTTGTCCATCCTTGTGGCTTCTATCCCTACCTGGCAAAACGTTCTTTATCCTGCATACCATCTTCTTCCATGCGCCCGTACTTCATACCATCGTCTTCATCCAGCCTGTAAAAAGCAAGAAACCAGCCACCGTCCTCAACTTGATTCCCAGTTACCATCCCCAACATCCCTCAGCATAGGTTAAGGAACATTACCATACGACTGACTCTTGCGTCTGTACCGTGATCCCAACCAATTTCGATATTTCCCCAACTAGGAAAAAAAAAACTTGTTCGTACTGTAAATCGCGGATTTGGCAAGGAATCAATCCCGCGACAGGCTCAAAGCCAACCGGATCAACAAACAAAAGCTTCACGATAATCAGAGCCGGAGATACGCGTGTCTAATACTTTTCCCACAATCATGTTGAATTCTGCCAACCATATACCGTATTTACTCAAGTATCAAGCGCCTTCCCTCAAGTAAGATACCCACCAGGGTTTTTCTGTCAAAATTTGTTACAAATGTTATCCCTGAGTAAGACGCGCACCCCATTTCTAGTGACTCTAAAAGTACACTAAAATATTTATAGAAGTAAAACCACCCAAAATAGAATATACACACGAATTGAGCCTGAATCCAACAGATTTTCAATAACTGTGTAATTCCACTACAAAAAAGGTTCCCCTTTAAAACGTTTCCCCGTCATAATTGTTTCAAAATTTCCCATTCAAATTGAATATAATGCAAACCAACTTGCCAACCTTTTTGACAAATGTATACCCGTCTATAACGCTCAGCCCGTTTTTCCCTCTCAATTTTGAGAAAAAAAAGGTGCGCGTGGTACTCGAGTAAAGACGGATAGCAGAAGAGAGCCACGCTGCCGATGATTCGAGGGAGCATATCGACTCAAACTAAGAAAAACGCGTCCACTGCAACGAGAAAATAGTGCCACGGTGGCAATATCGAGAAGAAGCAGTACAGTAAGATCAACAAAATTTGACTATTCTTCGGGGTTTCTCGCCAACCCGTCGGCAGAGAATGAGAGAAATAAAGACGAGAGAAAGAGCGACTCAGCGATGGCGGCACCACCGCTCCGTGTCACGACAGGCGACTCGGGTCAAGGGCCAGGTCAATCCATGCCCACGCCCGCCGTCCACTGTCCTCATTTTCTAGGAACCTCATTGTCTGTACACCGAAGCACGGAAAACGCTCACTCAACAACTGCAAGCGGGCGAACAATGTTTCGGAATACTCTCATCTACTTGTACTCCATTTTGGAAACGTACATTTGGGAAGCCTGGTCATGAATCAGGAGAAAAGGAAATGACACAATACATCTTCGCATAAATTCAATTAGCTACGAGAATCTACATTCTGCGCCATACAGAGGAATAATTTGTTCTTCCTGTGTATGCAAGAATTTTTTTTGGCTGTTAACGAGTATTTACTCTACTTTGGGGCATACGAGATTATGTAAGAAATTCAAATGATACTGAACTGAAGTTGGAAAACCCCGTGAAGCTGTTCTGAAATGAGATGTCAGCGGCGTCTTTATCTGCTCCAGATAACCGGACATTCGGGCAAGATTATAAAAAGCGGATATTTGAGAATATATTGTGAACAGCATTTATTCTTGCGCCGGAAAGTTTGCAAAACCTCGTACCGGAGAAATTCTTGCATTTCCTTACGTGAACTTTGAATGTAGAGTACTATCTCAACGTAACCAAGTACGGTACAGTATTTGGACAAAGTTCCTGCCTACTTCTCCAAGTTTTCCACGATGTGAAACTGAGGCAATATTTATGAAAAATCCACCGTTTTGTGAAGGATCAAGCTCCTGAAATTCAAACATTTGACCCAACAAACCGGACTCCCGCTGAGCATCGTCCAAGATAATTACGAGAAAAGAGCCAACAAACTATGCTCTTCCGAATATGCTTCGGGCATCCACCGATATAATTACGATACTTCGCTACCGTCTGTTCACCTCATAAATGTCAGTCTCTTCTCGCAAATCCTTATCACATGAATTGTCACGAGCAAGACCACGTTCATAACCATCTACCAACTCTTCGTCAACCAAAACAGCAGGAGCAGGAGTCGCTCGGCTTCAACTCAAACAATGGAACAGTGACCTGTCCTGGATCGTTCTACAAGTAGTCGGGAGCAAAGATCTCAAGGGCCCCTAGGACTGCAACCATCGATATAAACGGAAAGGAATTGCCACCAGGGCATCATTACCATTACCGTAACTCCAAGCAGATTCTGACACCCACGAGGAAATCTCGGCGCTATTGAGCTTAGCTCAATAGCGCCGAAATCTCGACATTTTCCTCGAACACACTCGGATGTGTCGAACATCAAGCGAGCATCCCATGCGGCTGCGGTATGATTGCATCTCCTGTCTCATTTGCACACTTCGGCGAAGCTGCTTTGGTTAATTCGTCTAGATAAATCCCACTACTCACAGTTCTTTACCCTTGCACCACTTGACCGCTCTACATGAAACTGATCGAAGTTAGAATATGGTGAAAGGCGGAAGGAAATAATGCAAAAGCTGCGCCGTTGTTGACGATCACAAAAACCCACGAACTGCAACGAAGCCATCCACATCCACCAGTCAAAACTATCCCAACGCGCACGACTGAACCAAAACCAAACAAGGCTCTTAAACAGCGATCACCACTGGCATGGGAATGTCAAATGCTACGTATGTTCTAAATAATTTCGAAGATTCAGCTTCAAACATATCACAAACCCTAGAAAGCTATTTGAGCCTTGATCTCTTTCGTACGAAGTCCCTGAGGAGATCTGATTTCCAACATGAAGATGCAATACTCACGCTAGTACTCCTGAAGTCCGTTTCATGGTTAACTTCGTGTTCAACAGCCGCAACGGTTTTGATAGAGGAGTCACCAGAAGCTTGAATAAGATATCCGCCTCTAACAGTACCAAGCCACTTCTGGGCAAGATCCGAGCGCGCCTACTCACTCCGCAAAGCAAATAAACTCACATTCATTTTTCAGGCATTCGATAACCTACGTCAAGTAAATTATCGACCTATAACTGAATGTACAATGAAATTCCAAAAAAATAAGAAAACAATAGGGGATTCTCAGGGGGAAGGTGACGGTGAACAAAACTTACACAATTCAACGCAAAAACGATATCCGTCACAACTGGCACCACATTAATCCAAGTGGAGCAACTCAGCAACTTTCTCAAAAGAATTGATGTACAAAACTATAATACTAAATGAAACCTCAGCAAGCGCCCTTCTTCTGTTGCCTTTTCCTGAAATCACGACAGTTCGGGTTTCACAAATTCATGAGATTGCAATGGTTTGAAACATAATCTGACCAAGAGTGAGGGTTCACTTCGTATGTTTGCACGTTCAGACAGATTTGGGTCCCACATTATGAAGCACGAAACCGTACAGTAAGACTTTCGGTAAGGAACAGGAGTGCAGATTGCGCTATCGTGTGCTAGTGTAGACTACTGTAAATGGAGATCGCATGTTTTGCTTCCCGAAAGCAACCCGAAGGTAATGTGGGTCGATAACTGCTTCACCTTTCGGGAGGGTATCATGCTGCGTTGTCTGGTGACATCTACTAAGCTTTGAGAAAAGTTCGTGTAACGTCCACTTCCGTCAACCTGATGGCAGCCCCTGACGTATACCTTCTAGAACCACTAGGGCAGAAGCGGCAATCGGATTAACCAGCACTTCGAAAAGATCTGTGTGACGCTGAGGGCAGGAAGAGTTTTCTCAGCAATCGATGTATTTTCCTTTATTTTTTCGTTGTGTTCGTGATCATGGTCAAGTTCGAAGCTATGAATTACGGTACCATACTGGCAGACTTCTAATTTTTTAAGAGTGTTTATGCCTTTTTTTATGAGGAAACTTTCAATATGCCGGCGAATAAATTTGAAGGTACGGGGACGGTGTGAATTGTTTGAAATGTGTTGCAAATCTCATAAACAATGACCGTATTTATGACGGGTAATTGGTTCGAGCATCCCATTTATCAAGATGCACAGTACTGTAATTGTAACTTCGCCCGAACGCATGGTGCGCATCTCAATCTGTAGTTCAGTTCGAGTTGATTTTGTTTAAAATCAATCAGAAAGTTTAAGAACAGGATTAATCCTGTTCTTAATCTTTCTTATTGAAGACTCAGTTTTAAGTCGTCGCGGCGGTAACTTCCTGCAATTTGTACTCCAGAGGTGTGAGTGTCGGCGCGTCTAGTTTTTCTGAGTTCCTTCAGAAGATGGCGACGGCTGCCGCAGCAGCTCTCTTGGATGAGCTTATGGGACGATGCCGTAATGTAGGTCCTAACGAGAAAGTCAGCGAAGTAAAGTGGTCCGATGAAGACGTGAGTTTAAACTTTGCGTACTTCGCGTCGGATGGTTGAGACGAATTCTTCCAACAGGTGTGCAAGTATTTCTTGGTCAAGTTTTGTCCGAACGAACTTTTCGTCAATACAAGAGCTGATCTAGGTCCATGTCCGAAAATCCACGACGAAGAATTAAGGAAAAAATTCGAGAATGAAAAAGCGGAACGCCCGGGAATGAGAATGCAGTACGAAGACGAATTCATGAAATTTTGTCAAGACATGATCGCTGAAGTGGAGAAAAAGATTAAGAAAGGGAAGGATAGACTCGCTCTTGCTCAGTCGAAGTCCTCTGAAGTTGACAGACGCGTAAGTTTGTCGATTATTAAAGTCATGTTCTGAAAATTTCTGACTTGTCTCTTAATTCGTTTAGTTGATGGCCAGCAACACCGGGGACATCAAGAGCAAAGAAGAGCGGTTAATATTCCTTTCGGAGAAGATTGAGGCATTATGCAATCAAGCTGAAGAAGCAGGCACGCGTGGCGACGTTGAGGAAGCCCAGCGATTGACTGAATTGTGCGAAGAGCTTAAGGAGCAAAAGGAAGCAGTTTTGCGCACCTCGATGGAGGCCACTGGTGCATCTCCCTGGATACAGGCCGCAGAACTGACTCCTCAAGAAAAACTCATGGAAGTATGCGAAATTTGCGGTAGCTTTCTTATCGTTGGTGATGCCCAAAGTCGTATCGATGACCATCTTCTTGGGAAGCAACACATGGGATATTCACGGTTGCGTGTCTCGGTTGAAGAAATAATAGTGAGTCAGTGAACGGTTTGATAGTATTATCATTCAAACGAAACTTGATCACTTTCAGAGCCGACGGAAAGAGGAGCTAGTCGAAAAGGAGAAGGCGCGGGCACGAGAAAGAGAACGTAGGTCGAAAGACGATCGTCATAATCGTAAAAGCCGAGATCGCGGAGCTGATGGAGATAAAAATGATAAGTCTCGTCATCATGATTCCCATCGACGGAAAGATCGAGATCAAGCAAGCCGTGATCGCGGGAAAGATGATCGTCACCGATCGAGTCGTCACCGCTCGCGTTCCCGCTCGAGAAAGTGAGAATACTTTTGTTATTTGATTTACGTAGCTTGCATACTTCAACCCTCGATGAAATCTGGAATTTAAAGAGCAAACGTCCGAAATAACAAATACAGGTACAGTAGTTGTAACTACCGTATTTCTCACTGAAACTATTGTACATTACTGTATTACCAATATGAAATATTCTGTTCGCAAATAGTTCGAAAATTTATTCACTAGCACTCGTTATTGAGCTGTGACAGAAATTCATCATCGGTTGAAGTAACGAATTAATTTCAAACTAAATAATACTTTGCTATCTTCTTATTTGTAACACATTCTCGACCTTCTAATGAAACTAAGATTCTGTACAGTACTGTGCTAAAATTTATTATTCACTCTATTACTTTTCGAAAAGAAGAAATAAAGATCTGTGAAGCTTAATTTTTAATAAAAGAAAACTTATTGAAGTATGTCGTTTTCAACAATGATTTTCTTACGAATTTCATTTTGGCTACGAATTCATTCAATTCTAGCTTAATCTGGATTCATTAGCCATTTATAATCACCTTTCAGAAGATGACCACAGCCTGAAAATAAGCCGGGCCTTTTTTTGGCCGAGTTGATTGAAGATGTGTCGTACGTTCGGGTTTACTAGGTATTTTAGGCTAGGTCAGTGACTGTCTTCAATGTTGGTATGATGAGTGTAGTTAAATTCAAGGGAACTCAGTTCTGATAACAATGTAGAAAATCGTGTCATTACTAAGCATCCGAGAATTTTTATTTCTTCGAATAGCAGGCGCAGTGCTGATCGAGAGCAACGCAGCGATCGCCATCGGGACGATCGCCATCGGAAACGCTCATCGGAGAAAGAAAGATCTAAACCACGAGATAATCATCGCAGTTCGGATGATCGGAAGTCACATTCTTCTCGTGAGTAATCGAACTTCGACTTTTTTAACGGATTCAGCTCCAACTTCTGCGTGTCCTATATTTTACTCGTAGGGAATGGACGCGGCTCCGACAACCACTCCAACTGAGCCAAGTTCGTACCTGTTACACGTCACCATCTATTGTTCTTTTCCTCAGCGTCAATGTAGCCTGTAAAGCCTCCTTCGCTAAAGTTCGCGGGATTGATTGGTCGTTCGGAATCGTCGACGCTGGAGCACTTAATGAAGGTACTTGGGCGTCTGTTTCTTGGTCCAGGTAAGTCTTCTTTTTGTTGGTGATAGAGTATGATGTGTTCTTCTCCAAAGCGATGCGTGGCACCTGTTCGAACGAATTTCGAATCCTAGAAAAGCCATTGATAAACTGGGTTATTCTGGAGAACCTTTGCAAGGTAAGCCGTATTGGGTCTGGGCTTGTGACGCTCGAATGTTTACATTACCCTTTAAAGTTGGACTCGTTCCTTGAGCCCTGAAATCCGCAGTTTTGGATTCCTGCGCTGCGACCATCATCAGGTTAGGTCTCTGAAAAATGTGATAACTTCATGTGTGCTATGTGAAGCGTGATGAATTGGAGAAGGGTTGCGTGGAATGCTTCAGTTCTGAGTGACTCTTGGCTTGTTTTCCAGTGGTTTGCCAGTGGAGTCGACCGTGTTCCGGATGCGAGCCTGGATTGGATATTATTCTTGTTATTCATTCTTGCTGAATTCCGTCGGAACGTCAGAATCAGATTTCGAGAAATCGTGACCGCATTGAGACGTAACTCAGAAATTGGTTAAAACTATTCGTTTTCGTTCCATTTTCTCCGTATTCACCAGTATTATGCTGGTCGATTTTCCATGTATGGCTGCGCTGATAGAAATTCATCCGAGAATGTTTCTTAGCCACGCTTTGCTTTGTTGTTGATGGTATCATGATCCTCGGCTTCTGCGCTTCGCGGAAATCTTTTTTGAGTGAGCTTTTGAATAAATTTCGAGCGTTGCTGAAGAACGTGTGGATTTCTTCGATTTCCAGAGATCAGTGCGTGGAATCGCGGTCCCTATAGTGAAGTTATTCATAAGGTATGCTGAACGGTGGACGTTTCGGAATGGAAAAGACTGGACAAATACAGGGAAGTGCGGTTGGTGGCCCGGCTGTTGGGCAGAATCCAAATCCGCCGGCTGGGCCACAGCCGCAGTCGCAGAGTTCGTCTGTCCAGAACGGCAATGTTGACCGCGAACAGATATACAATTGGATCTTGGAATTGGGAAACCCTGAAACGCGGGAAATGGCATTGCTGGAGCTGAGCAAGAAAAGGGAGGCCGTTCCTGACTTGGCACCAATGTTGTGGCATTCGTTCGGAACAATTGCTGCGTTGTTGCAGGTGCGTTATCTCTTACAAGTATGACTTAGAACTGCAGTACTCCATTGATTTTTGCGTATTTGATCGTTTACCATTAAAAAAATAAGTGCGTATTATTGCTATATCGTGACTGGACAAAAGTACGGTAGCTGCGCATCACACGCTAATTTAAATTCACTATTTTCACCCGTATGTTAGTAATACAGTACTGTATATTATATTTTTGTTCTGGCACTGGTTCATGTTTAAGGTAACTCATGCATTTTTTTTCATGAATGTGTAATATTTATTTCATTTCTTCTGACCCATTGACCTTCTGGTGGTTTTTTCGGCCCGTATAGCCACTTACACTTGGACTCTTCGTTCGATTCAGTTTTTTCCTTGAATATCGTGTTGATAATTTAGAAGTACTAAATAATATTTCTGCGATATATTTTGCGGTATTTAATCCGAGGGCGAATGCTTCGAAGATAAATGCATTCCTAGGTGATATAATGTGATATCAGTACAGTACTGTATGTGAATTTGTGTTGAGCACGCTCATTCTTGCTATTTGCGCTCCGACTCAAGCTGGAAGCAACCCTCTTTTTTGCGGAACATTTTTTTTTCAGGGGATTTAAGGTAGGTTAGGTTTAAACTGTTATGGGAATTATTTCCAGAATTCGTGTGACCTTATGTAGTGACCTCTCTAGCTCGCTTGCGTTTAGAAAGAAATTAGTTTTTTTGAAACCATAAAATTTTGAAGATCGGACTAATTTTGTAAGCTGTTCCTTTTCCGTCGACTGACGAATTCTAACTTCGCAGGAGATCACCAGTATTTACCCTCTGCTGATTCCTCCGACGCTGACTGGGGCACAATCCAACAGAGCTTGCAATGTCCTCGCATTGTTTCAATGTCTTGCGTCGCATAATGAAACGCGAGGAATGTTTCTCCAAGCGCATTTCCCGCTTTATTTGTATCCATTTCTGCACACTACCTCGAGAGTTCGTCCATTTGAGTATCTTCGGCTGACGAGTCTCGGAGTTATCGGAGCACTCGTGAAATCCGACGAACAAGAAGTGATAAATTTTTTGCTGACGACGGAAATCATTCCGGTGTGTTTGAGAATCATGGAATCCGGCTCCGAGCTGTCGAAAACCGTGGCCACCTTCATTCTTCAGGTGATTCCAAAACATTCCGTTTGAAAATTTTTATCGTGCGTTGATCATTTAATTGAGGGCCCGGACTATTTTTCCGAAGAAGCTGCAAGGGTTACAGATTGATTCTGCGACGAGTGAATGATTCCAATGGAAACTTCCTCGTGAAAACAGTTCACATCCGTTTGGTTTATTCTCGCATCCATTGGAGACCCAAGTGATCTCGGTATTTCTCGACGCTTTGAAAATCACATGATCCAATTTTTCCGAATTGTTCGATTTATCGCATTTTAATCCGTTTATTGATTAATCTTTATGTACAATTGTTCCAATTTCCTAATGAAAATTTGGTAACGGTTTCCTGTGTCTTGTTCTGTTTTTCTCGCAACGAGTAATCAAATTTTTTTTCCTTCAAGGAACGAAATTTCGTATGCATGGTTTGATGACTTCGCTCCAATGCACTCAGAGAAAAATCGCTACGTGAATGTAATTTTCTCATCTTTCAAATTTTGCCCGATTTTGATCTGTCAGTGTAACAGTGTACGGTAATTTAATTCATGCTTTCATAAAAGGATTTGCCTAGCGATTGTACAAGTTCCAACCTCAGTGATGTGTTCATTAACTGTAACTTACAATATTACAATATAGCATTACAATATTTTTTGCATATTTCCGGGCCTGTCAACCCGGAAATATATCTTTTATTCGACAGGATAAGCGATTATCGTACTACTCCTTGGATTTCAAATGTTCGAAATGTACGCAAGAATTATCCCTGTGAATGTTGATGAGGTTTTCAATGGGTGGGTAATCAAAATTTAGTACCTGCGTGATCTCGAAATACAGAATGTTATTTTTAGTATGTTATGCTGATCAATTGGGGTTTGCATTGCAGAAAATTTTGTTGGACGACATTGGGCTATCGTACATCTGCCAAACGTACGAGCGTTTTTCGCATGTAGCCATGATACTCGGAAAGATGGTTTTATCCTTGGCCAAAGTCCCGTGCGCCAGACTTCTGAAGCACGTTATTCGATGCTACTTGCGATTGTCTGACAATCCTCGCGCTCGTGATGCCCTGCGACTCTGCTTGCCGGACCAGCTGAAGGACGATTCCTTTGGTCCTCAAATACGTGACGAACACACCAAAGTGTGGCTGATTACGTTGCTGAAGAACTTGGAGCCTGCAATTGGCGGACCTGTTGGAGAACAGCGCGTTGCGCCAAACGCCCTCAACTAGTAATTTGTTTCCTCGACGAGTTGAGTTCATTGGAGGATTCGGAAGTGTGAGTTCAGGAAAGGAACCTTGAAAATGACTCTCTGACAACGATATGTTTGTTTTTGCCAACAAATTTACGAGCATCAAAAGCGAGTGCTTCTAGATCAACCAAAGTTGACATTCATGTAAAATTTGGTATGATAAAGCCACGTTTAATAATCTAAATTTTACTGACCTGAAGACAGGGATTTTTGCGATTAAATACTGTAGTTGTTTCTTGAATATTGGTGATGTCTTGAAATTAACTTATGATAGGTTGCATGGGTTACGTTCTGTCAAATTCGTCATTCAGGTCCGGAGTGCGGAGTCTGGTATTTAAGGTGACTGACGTACCCAAAAACAAAATGGCAGAACTTCTATGAACGTCTTCGCTTGAGCTACTTGCTTAATGGTTGGTATTGAAAATTGAAGTAACTGCATCTCGAGCAGCAAGCATTGCTGTTATTTAAAAAAAAAGTCTCGAGAGATTAATGATCAATTGCTTCTGGTATTAATTCTCATGGTCTTATTAATTTCTTGTCAAATTATATAGGGTTGACCTATTGGTGTTTTGTGACTGATTCTATCGGCGTGTAAATGGCCATTAATCGTAATATGCCTTTGAATGGGAGTTACTGATGTAGTTCATGGCACATTCAAGATTTCTGAATTCGCGGTTCCAGCCTGAACTCACTCGTCCATTCTGCCAAAAGATGAAGTTGTAGCCGAGTGCTAAACGAAGGATTTGTTGAGCCAGGTCAGCTTCGTGGCGTTGCATTGGTTTGAATTTGTGGGAAACTTCGCTTGACCGTAAGCACGACGAAAATTTACTTTACGCTCATATTTTCGAATACAGGGATGAAAAATTCCTCAAATTATGCTTGAGCCACAAGAGGAATGAGGTAGCGCAGATTTCAGTCTTAGTACCGCTTTATTATTGAACATGATTAAAAATGCCTGTCTAAATAATTCAATATCAACTTTTTATCGTTCATCAACGGGCACGAACTTCAGAAGTAAAAGGAGGCTATGTCATATTCAAATACGTCTTCCTTTTGGAAACTCCACCCACAGTCAGACGCATTTAAATCAAGTTTTCTCGCGGAATTCTTCCCCACATCCTTGGACTGCAGTTTTCATCTGACATCGCGTCATTGATCTTCCTCCTGATTTTTTTCTGGCAAAATATTTAGATATTTTCATGTACAATACTGTAATTCACGAAATTTCCTTGTATTTTTTTAAAAACGTACAGTATTATATATACAATATTCAATTTGGTTTTCGTCTACGAGACGCTGAATTCGTTGTGGGGTAAATTTTCTTCGTGCTTACAATCCAAGTGACTTCATCCCTTCTTTAGGGGAAATATCTGCAGAGGTGAATGAGGTTTTAGGTGAAACCCCCGCTTCTGTCAGTGTGGTATTTTTTACTTTTGAAGTGATATGTTTAGAAGGGTGGGCTCATTTGATTGTGGCTTGGGAATTGAATGTGCTGCATCTGTGTTCCAGTTGCTGCGGAAGTTCAAAAGTGCATTCATTTGGGTGATCAAACGTGTCCTCCCGGTTGATGTGAAAAAGATGTTAACATTGCCAACGTTTTGCGAAGAATTATTTTTTTTGTGCGTCGCCTCGTCAAACTTGGCCATGTTGGGAATAAGGAAAATACTGTAATGCACCAATGGCGTGAATCATGCGGACGGACGGATTACTTCGAAGACTGATCGAGCACTAGTCATTTTTTCGTGTATCTTCAGTGTAAGCATTGTTAGGGGTTTGTGCCGAAAGAAGGTCTGGTTTGTCTTTTCTCCGCCTTCCTCCGATTTATTAACGAACTGTTGCTAGTGACAGATTACTATGGCTTTCGGTTTAATCTGAGCGATTTTTGATTTATTTAAGGAAGTCAATCCTATCATGAGCATCTCTGAAAAATGTTCACGCCCTCAGCTCTTTTGAAGGAATCTTAGGTTAGGATGAGACATGTTTTCGAAGTATTTTCTGTTTGTCATTCGGGGTTCTTTTGTCTGTTACTGCTGTTTTGGCACACAAAAAATAGCAATCCTCTGCTAAAGTTAAAAATGATCCTCCCTTTCAAAAGTAAAATCATTTGAAGTATCTTTCGCCTACTTTCAATGCTACATAATACTGTACTGTACTAATAATATGCAAAGGTTCTGTTACTCAGGAAGATTTTTTTAGGTGTACGATACATTTGTTCTCATTTTCTTGCAACCCTTTTTTGTTCTTATCGGATCCGCGTTCTTGATTTTCGAGAAGATTTGTTTAGTTTAAAAAAATTGGATTAAAAGTGTGTTCAGGCTGCCCTCGCTCATCTGAAATGTCTGCAAGAGAGTCGATCGATTTGAAGGCATTGCATGTGCTTCGAAATGGGACAAAACCCCAGATAATTCTTGATTTTCCCTGTATAACGCTCACGAATAAAACTGTAATTCGAATCACTTGTTTTAACATCGATATCTTCGAAGCAGAAAATCCGTGTGATTCGTCGAATGTTGTTTGGGTACGCCAAGTATTGGACAATGTATTTTGTGATCCCGAAATCTCTTTATCCGAAAGAAACTTTTTGGACTGGCGAAGTGTCTATTTTTGTCAGGATTTTTTTGTTAGCGAGGAGTCGATTAGACGCAGATGGTTGGTTGAGGAGTTCCGTTCGCGAAGCTGCGACTACTAGACACTCTTTGGTTGTGTGAACTCCTGTTTTTTTCTTGGTTGATTTCACGGCTAGTGTGTGAAGGGGGGGAAGGGAAGGGGTTGCGTTTTGGATCCGCCGTTTTCGATCGACGAAAAACTCGTTTTTTTGACGAAATCGTGGAATGGAATTGCAACGAGTCTTAGTCCGTCTATGTCTAGACTTCTTAACGCTTTCTGGTGTCTCGTTCTTGCTGTGCAGCTTCGGTTGGAATACAGTGTCGTGCTTTTTGATCGAATCTTTATTTCACTGGGGAATTTTGTATGATTGTTCTTCAATTATAAATTTATAATTTACGTTAGTTGATAATAAGGGTAGGGGGTTAGGAAAAGTCTTGGTCGTTCTTCGCTCTGCAAAAATGCTGTAGAGGCCAGAAAAAAATTAGTTTGTGATGGACGTCAGATGATGAATATGGTTGAAGTAAGAACGTGTCAAATTTTTTCGATTTCCTCTTCGCTCACGCGTGTGCTTGATATTATATTTATTCTTTACTTGGCTTTATCACAACGGCTATTGAGAACTGAATTAAATACTCTCAAGTACTGTGATTTGAACTTCTTTCGCTTAGTTAGCAATGAAATCTAGATTCAAAAGTTATCATAAGGTTGGTTTGAACATGTCTCATAGGCTACTAATGATCATACTTCAACTAGTGTTTGAGACACAAAAAAAGCCCACTTGAAAATACTTCATGCTCAATTATTCTTGATCTGGTCATTTTGGAGACATCAATACATTAATTTCAGAATTTTCCGCTGTCTAAAAACTGAAGTACTGCACTGTACTTTTCCCCGGTTCTTTGCTGTGTTGATTTCTAACGAGATTTTTTGCGTTCCATTTTTGCTTTGCAGGTTTGATTGGAATGCAGAACTTCGCATTTCAATTGACATTAATACGGTTTTAACCGTTTTCTTTATTTTTTGTATCTTGAAGACGGGAAGGAAACCGGGGACTTTTTATGGCCGAGATGACCTGGAAATCTATTGATCAAGCAACTTCAGGCAGCCATATCAGTTTCGTGCTCCCGACCTCGGGCAGCGGGTTTTCCTTGGCGAACCCTCGCCAGCTCTTCCCGAGAAACACGGGATCCCTTTTTAAATTATCAAATTTCACTGCCTCGCTGTGTGAGAAGGACTGTAATTATGTAAGTGTTGATAACGAGCGGGGATGTGGAAAAGAAGTGACTTAGTGTAATTAATCTCGGGCGTACAGCGTTTTTCGCTTCGTTGAGACAAGGTGGGTCCGTGTGCAGGCTGAATATCATTCCTCAACGTTCACATCCGTGATCCCTGAAGGAAACCTGAATTGCCCGGTGAGTATCTATGTGTTCATTCTTTTTTTTTAATGCATGATTTGGTATCATGAAATGGCGTTTTTCATCACAGTAGACTCATGATCCTGTTTTTTTTTCACATCAATACTCCTAACATTACTTCCTGTAAATTCGACGAGTTTTCGTGTTTAAGTCAAACCTGGACTAATTGGGGACAACCGGAACTATTACTGCGCAACGTTTTCACTAAAGTCGGCATGTGTATATTCAAACCGACCCCTGATTTTGGTCTACTGCGTATTATAATGACAACTAATATTAGGAATATCCTAGAATTCAATCGGAATCGAGAGCCTTTATTCGGAAGCTAATGCAGCACGCGTAAATATTTAAGTGACTTCCGCTTTTTCTCCGAAAAATTAGAAATATTCATAAAATAAAATTGGCAATTAATTTAGACGCTGCTCGAGCCTGCCCGCAAAATAAATGCTAACCGATAAAAGGTATAACCTTCCCCGAGAATCAAAAGACAGTGGGACCCCGAGATGCGGCCATAATTGGTTCTTGGGCCATGTCCTTATGTTGGAACGTCTGCTTTTTGGATTACGTTTTCCCGCACAATGGGAAAATATTCGATGGGTTCTCGTGTTCGTAGAAAATTCGGAAATACTCCCCCAATTTTTTTTTCCAGCTGCAGATACAACTTAATAAAAGTAACTGTAGAAGGAAGCCACACACAATGTGCCCCTTTTGGAATGTAAAGAAGCAAGATTTATTATTTTATTTCGATGAAGATAGTTCATTTTTTATGAAGATTTTATGAATAGGTAGCTTACTTTTTGCTAGATCTCAGAATTCAGGAAAATTGCAGTCAGTATTCATAAAAGCCGTTTTTAGTCTTCGCATGACCGCAAGTTCAGAGTTACAGCCCTTGAGCTGACCTGCACACTTCCTTTTTTGTTCGAATCTTTCGAATAACAGAGAATGCGATTGTTTTTTTTTTCTACGAAGATTTAATATGTGATAGATTCCCATCTTTCCCGCGAGATTTATTTTTGTTTACTTTACGTACGTCGTGAGCCGTTTCGTACTCCTAAGATCAGATATTTAGTTTGATTTTCTGAGGCGATGCCCGAACTTTTATTTTGCCTGGGTTCTCGCGACTCATACCTGTACCTGTGTTTCTAAATTTCTCACGTTATTCGATCAACTGCCAAATTCGTCTTGCATGCGACCGATTGATATCCAGGAGCGAAATGCTCCATTAAACCGATGCCGCGATTTAACCGATTTACCCCTAAAGAAGGGTAAAATATCCGTGTTTTTATGGACTTTTAGATCATCACGCAACGCTTGAGAAATATCAGTACAGTACTGTACTCTTAACAAGTACGGCTTTCCTTCTTCACAAAGGGTACTTGGGAGACTTGATAATGATTATTTTTACGAGGAATATATTTAGAAAAATCGGGCTAAGAACAGGAAACACTCGCTATTCTATTTTTTTCACCCAAGAAGAGAATTTTTTTGCAAAAGACTCTCTACAACGATTTTCATCTCTACAGTATAACGATTTCTTTTAAACCCCGGGCCTAGGGGATCTCTACCCATCCCGTAGGTGTTCTCTACTTGGAATTTTATTTCTGGTCCCCTGGATTTCCGTGCAGAGAGAGTCCAGCTCTATTTTCTCAAAATATTGACTGTCTCCTGGTGACCTACAAAAATTGTTCCCCACCTTCGTGCTCCACTAATACAGCACGTTTTTTTTCTTTCGGGTTTCACGTGGGCGTATATACCTATACAAACTCACGTTGGACAACCAGACCCGATTTCAGGGATCGATTTTGAAGGGGAGGGTATCGAAATAAGGAGGAGTTCTCGGGAAATGACGTTCGTGCTGGTCAGTGATGAGGAAGATATGGGTTAGTTGATGCCTTGCCTTCCGTGCAACGAGCATATATATATGCTTGGGCGATCGTGAGGCTTGATCCATCATCGCTTCACGACCTCTGATCAATGCCCTTCCTTGGGTATCGGAGAGTCGGCAGAGAAAACTTTTCTCGGACATTGCGGGGTTCCTTGGATTGTATTTTGTATTTTTTTTTTCTGGGAACATCAGTCAATTTTCATCAGTTTGGAAACATGGCGGCGGTTAGGGCGAATTTCAACCCGGCACCGATCGATCGATTAAGGATAATGATCTATGCATTGTCCTAAATTTATTCGAGGGCAGCGTTGTAAATACTGCTTGTATGGAGTTGAAGTTCAAGGAAGTTTGTGTACGTATCAAGATTTTAATGTTCAACTTGGGAAGATTTTCTCATGCGTCTTGTTCACAAATACAGGTGGCCTCTCTCTACAACGATCTTGTCTAAAACATTATTTTCTGCACGACGTTTTATTTACGAATAGGGTTCTCTCATCATGTCATATGGGTTCACTGCAACGAAATCCTTTTTACGGCGATTTTTTTTTCAGGCCCCTTGAATTTCATGGTAGAGATAGTCTACCTGTGCTGCTACTCCATATTGAAGGAAACACGAAGCATCATGTTTTTTTTATCTTGAAGAATTGAATTGCAAATTCGGCATTTCGATGTCGTAAGAATAAGTGGATCGCAAAAAAGTACCCCATGCAGTATTTTTAATGCCTTTGAGTCGTCGAGCATTTCAAAATCTTTCGACGTTGTTGATTATTATTCGCCCGCATTTTCCCTCCTTTCAATTTTTCCAGAAGACAGGAATTCCCGATTGTGGATGGATTGAAGTATTTGTGCATTGATTCCACATTTGGATGACGTCAAAATGCAATTTTTTTTCTGGTTCTTCGACATATCCGCGTAATCCCCGAATCTTTACGCGCTCGGTGTTCAATAACTCGAGAGATTTAATCGTACAGTCCATCGATCTATAATATGGAAAAGAAAAAAAGCTTTTGCGAAACTGTCAAATCTCGTCAGTTGAAACCCCGTAGATGTGCGGGTTCCAATGTTACATCCGATAAGTTTTCCGGAATGATCGTTCTTATCGATACTTACGTACTTCTTTTCTTCTTAAACTATTGTACATTATTGTCAAATAGGGGTAGAAATGGGATTTTGTCGTCAAGGTACTGTACCCATAGTAGATAGTACTGTACATTATAGGACTGGGTGAAATGGTCGAAACGTGTATACTTTCGGTTTTTTCTGGCTGGTAATTTATTTTTCCCGTGGGAGAATTGAAAAAGATTGCATTTCCGATTTTTCGCGAGGAGTTCCGGGAACACGAAAATATTCTCACAGTCTTTCGACTCTAAGAATAAGGATGTGTTGCTTTCGGTCGAGATTACCGTGTTTTTATTGATTCCCTGAATTTTTAAAATGTTAAATAATTTTAGAAATCTTAGTTCCAAAATGCCTTGCGATGTAACGGATGTTTCCTTCACAATTTTTGCGTTCTGGTAGAATATTATGCTTCTAAAGAAACGTCGATTGGCATGAAGGAATTCAACTTTAAAACCCAGATATGTAATCGAGAACTACTGTATATGAATTCTTGTGTTACTGTCATAAGACCTTTTGCCTGTACCGTACTCAAATCCACGAAGTGCAGTATAGCCATTTTTTAAGTTATTCAAATGAGCTTAATTTGGGAATTTTCTTTAATGTCACGAATTCAAATTTTCAGGAGATGAAATATAAATTTAAGATTGGTTCTTTATTGACTCATATACAATTTATGCAAATGGAATTTGAATTTCAAGAACAATTTTCTTGAAAATATTGAGTCATTATACGTTA